TTATTTTAAAACCAGGCTACTTCTGTTCTGTTGTGGTTCTGCTAAGTCCCCAAATCCCAGTCTTTGAGGACCAGAGGGAATCATGGAAATAATCTAGCCTAATTTTTTCCAAATGGTGTTCCATGAAACATATATTCCTAAATGCTCATAGGTGGTCCTTGAAGAAAAAAGGATTCTGTGACCAAGTAGGGTTGAGAAAGGCAGAATCCAAATGCACTTTAATAAAGTTTGAGATTCCTCTTAGACTTTGGAGTGGAGATATCAAGTAGGCAGTTGGTAGATGGGTCTGGATTTCAGGGACAAGGTTAGGGTTGGATATACAGGTTTGGAAGTTAACACATCTATAACCATGGGAATGGGGCTGGCTGAGTGGCTCAATTGGTTAAGAACGTGAGCTCTGAACAACAGCGTCACAGGTTCAATTCCCACATGGGCCAGTGAGCTGTGCCCAAGCTGAGCTGCTGCTGAGCTGCCAAAAGGTGGCAGGATGACTGAGCTGGTGAGAGCACGTGCTCCTAACAAGGTTGCCGGTTCGACTCCCGCATGGGATGGTGGGCTACACCCACCTGCAACTAAGATTGAACACGGCACCTTGAGCTGAGTGGCCGCAAGCTGCCATTGGGCGGCCGGGTGGTGACTGCACTTGGAACTGAGCTAGCTGCGTGCTCCACAACTAAGATTGAAGGACAACTTGGCTGTTCCCCTCCCCCAATTCCCCAATAAAATCTTTAAAAAAAAAAAAACCAACCATGGGAGCAGATGAGATGTCTCAGGAGAGAGCTTAGAAGGAAAGAGCTGGTGAGGCCTGGAGGGGCTGTAGCTCTCTTGTGACCCTGCGGGGAGAACCTAGGAGTGGAGCCACGACCCAGAAGATGGCATTGCTGACCAGGTGACAGGGAGAAACCAGGAGATCATTGGACATAACTCAAGCCACTAAAGCTGATTCTACCAGTGGGCTTTTTAGCTATAAAAGCCAGTAAATTCCTTTCCAACTTAGGTGTTCGTGTCATTTCTTATAGGAAGAGTTCTGACTCCTACGACATCTCCCAACTTCTTTTGCATGTTTATCTCTGTCTCTTATTCTCTGTTTCCCCATCAGCTTACCTGTCACGGAGGAGAATCAGCTGACCCTAAGATGTCAGAATTAACCAGTCACCCCCATCTTGAGGTGCGAAGGGGAAAGTATACTTACCCCAATCAGTGTTGGTTGTCGACATTTCAAGCATGAATAGAGGAATCAGTTAAGGATTGGTTAATATGGTTAAGGATTTTATTTTTATTCTTGGATTGCTGGCAACCAACCCAAACTGACTCTGGCTAATTTAAACCCCACAGGGACTTTATTGGAAGGATCACAGGGCTCCCCCACATAATCAAAGACAGAGCTGAAGGAGCTGAACAACGGACCTGGGCAGGGGAGGAACCAGAGCTGCCCTGGGGAGCTGCCCTGAAATGCTCTCTGGGCCGACCTTCAACACGGCATAGCTCCAAGGGCTGCACTCTCAGTGTTCAAGCTTGAAATGACAGGAAGAGAGACTCTGTTTGCGGGCAGAGAGCAGGAAGCCCCTTGGCCTTGGTCCCTGGAAGCCCACCCTGCATATCTAAGAGGCTTGGCGACAAGCCAAGAAGAGTCTGCTATGACCTTGCGGATGGAACCAGCTCTGGGCTTCTCCAGGTTGCCCGAGGCCTGCAGGTGATGAATAGCCTCCACAGGCTTCCGTGCTCTTAAGGCCCAGTGAGTGCGCCCGGGAAAGGCTTCCTCTGATGCTTTTGGTTTTCAGGCCTCACACTGTCCCAGATTCTGCCCATCAGTGGTCTCTCTGCCATATTTAATGGTCGCTCTTTTTCCCTCTGTCTATGCTCTTTATTTTTAGGAAACCTTCCTTCTCATTCTACTTTCCTCCTCCAAGCTCCCCACCTGCTATGGACTGAATGTTTGTCTCTCCCCACCCCAATTCCTATGTTGAAACCTAACCCCCAAGGTGATGGTATTAGGAGGTGGGGCCGTTGGGCGGTGATTAGGCCACGAGGGTGGAGGCCTCACAAATGGGATTTGTGCTCTTATAAAAGAGGCTTCGGAGCGATCTGACACCCCTTCTGTCATGTGAGGTTATAGTGCAAAGATGGCCGTCTATGAATGAGGAAGTGGGCTCTCACCAGACTCCAAATCTGCCGATAGCTTGATCTTGGACTTGCCAACTTCCAGAACTGTGAGAAATAAATTTCTGTTATTTATAAGCCACCCAGCCTGTGGTATTTTGTTATAGCAGCCCGAACGGACTAAGGTGCCACCCTTTAAAAAATGATTCTTATTTTAAAAAGAATCATTATTATTTAAAAAACTAATTATTCAAACCCTACCAAAGATTTTTCAGTGTAAAGTTAAGTCTTCTTCCCAGCCTATATTTTCCTGTCTCTCGCTAGAGGCAATAATTACTGTCAGTCTCCTGTGTATCTTTCCAGGTGTAGCCTATGTGTATGTCTCTATGTACAAACCCTACCTGTTTTATTTGTAAACACAGCAGATTATGCACCCTGTTCAGTACCTTTCATTTTCCACCCAGTGATGCATTGTGCGTATCGGAACACATCTGTCTTGGTCTTTTTGATGGCTGTGTAGTATTCCACTGCGAGGCCCCCATTGATGGATAGGCTTGCAAATACAAGGGATGCTGCAGTGAACATCCTTGTACAGGTGACTTCAGGCACCCGAGGAAGCAGATCTGTCGGAAACAACAGGGCGTTCGTTTCCAACAGGTATCAAAGATTTATTCTGCTAGTTTCCATCAGACTTCACAGGCATGGCCCAACATTGGCTACCTCCTTCTCTCCATTCCTTAAACACCTATAGTATGGCTTCCACCCACGGACACGCTCAAAAGTCATCAACGACTTCCCTCCTTAGCGCCTCACCTCTGACTTTTCTGTAGAACCTGACCTCGCTGCCGATCACGCCCTGAAACTCTCCTTGCTTGGCTGTTACGGGAGATCATCTTTGTCATCTTCTTTCTCTGATCATGCTTTTCCCATATCCTTCGCCTGTCTTCCAAAAGTCACCATTTGGCAGGAGCTCGAGGGAGTGAAAGCTGGTGGGCCAGCCTTTCCGGCTCCTGGTTGTCCCACCCAGGTCATCTCACCATTTAGCTCACTGCCTGGACCCCAGAAGAATGTAAGGTTTTGGTCCATATCCAAGTTCAAACTCTCTGCTAGGTTCAAGTCCTTCATTAAAAAAAAAAAGTGCTGTTGTTAATTCCTGTACTTTATTTTTAGTATCATTATGTTTATATTTATTATGTGCTTTTGAACCCTCCCTGCCCCTGAGAGATAATCACCATGTTGAATTTGGAATTTGTCATTTCCTTGCTTTTTTTAACTGAGTCCTGCATTTCTGACGGACCTCTCTGGATATCTCTATATGGGTAGCTCACTCAGTGTGGTTAAAAGCAAACACAAGTGATTCCATTTATGTAAAAAGGAAAATACATTATATAAATCTATCCATCCATCCACAGAAATCCTTCCAGAATGATCTGTATCAGGGGTGGGCCAAACAGAACACATCAGCAGGCCCGTTTGTAACCTCTGTGATGTACCAAAATGTTAACAGTGATTATTTCTGGATGCTAGGACTATGGATAGTTTTCTATCTGCTCGCCTGTATTTTCCAAATTTTCAACAATAGAACATGGATTACTTTAGTAATAACAATTTAGTAATATCCCAAACCTATCTTCCCCACTAACCCTCATGCCAATTTAGCTCTGACCCTAGGCTTCCTTATTTCTACCGGAATTCTGGAATTCTTCCTAGGTTCAAAACCTGGTTGGCATGATTGATACCCATTTCCCTCTCTCACATTCCTTATATTCTGGCATTGAGTGAATTTCTATCTCTTCTGTTAGACTGTAAGTTCTAAAGATAAGACCATGTCACATAGCACAGCTCATAACACAGATGCTCCAAAAATGGCTGCTGAACCTCCTGCTTGATGCCTAAGGCTTGTCTACATCCTGCAACTGTCACCTGGCTGAGAAACTGTCGCTATAAATAAGCAATTTCTGTTTCAGGTATGGTTTGCCCTTGATATTTACACTCCATTTCTTACCCCACCCAAGCCTCAAACTTCAGGAGAGAATCAGAGCTCGTATTCAAATCCTTAGCCACAATACAAGGAGGCAGTCCCCAGTAAGACCCAAGCCATCGGATGTGAGTTTCTTTTTTTCCCCTCGACAAGGTTGTAGTTGCTGTCACTCCACTTGCTGGGGAATTCTTGAGGAGATTTTGCTTGTCTTTCCGTGCTGTTCTTTCTGGGGTCTCCTTGTTTCTTTTTGCGATCAAGTTCCAGATGGCTCAGCAATGCTCCCCAAATGAGTATTTTGACGGATTGCTGAATGTTTGCAAACCGTGTCTCCTTCGATGTCCTAATACCCCTCCTCTGAGATGTCTGCGTTATTGTAATGCAAGTAAGTACTACTGCTTGAACAATTAATGATTTGTGGGGTGAAGTATTCTCTCTATACTGACTATTCAAAGAATAAACATTATGGGGAAGATAGTGAGATTTCCTGAATCAGAAAAGAGAAAGGGAACAAGGCAATTATTTAAATGCCAACAGGAACAAAGTTATTATTCAGAACTGAACTCAATTTTATTCAGCATCGTTAACAACCCAGTACTTTATCAACACTTCTAATTAAGTGTTATTGAGAATTTGAAAGTCAATGCTTTTGAATTAGGGGAATTGGATGGCAAATAATCTTGACTTGATGTGGATGTTATGTTATCAGTTCATTATCTCTCTGACATTTCTTTTAATTCAGTGAAAGGAACCAACGCCATTCTCTGGACCTGTTTGGGCCTAAGCCTCCTCGTGTCTTTGACACTTTTCATACTGATGTTCTTGCTAAGAAAGATGAGATCTGAACCGTTAAAGGATGAATTTAAAAGCACAGGTTGGTTTGATGGCCAGTCTTTGAAATCTATTTCCAAGAGGTGGTTATTGCGAGTTTCAGTTCCTTTTCTTTTTTTTAACGTTGAATATTTCATTTGGTTAGAGCCCTCTTCAGTGTGTTAGGGGACAGTTATGGTAAATGAACTTGGGAGAAGGGAGCTGTCTTCTTTCCGATGTTTACACCTTTGCAGGTATCCTACCATGTCGGCCATCTCCCACATTCTTCCCTTGGCAATTACTCTTTTGAATTACTGACCATCTTTTGACCAGAGTTAGCACACTGATTAAATGTCATGTTATCAGAAACTGCTAACAAGGTCTGCTACTATCAGGAAAAGTGTATTTGGCAAGATGCACAGCCAGTTTTTATACAAATATATGTTGTTGGCTTGGGTGAACATTTTACTGCCAAAAAAATGCTAGAAATGTATAACCAATAATAGCTCCTGGATTATTTGAGCAATTACCTCAAAGATTATTATCTTTATAAGTCATAGAGCACCAGTCCCAGAGAACTGAATGTTCCTAGAGAATTGATTGTTTCTTAAGATCCTTAAGGTCTTATGCACTTCTCAAGATAAAAATATTTCTGCAGCACTGTTGCCCATGATCTGATGCTCAAACACTCTGCAGCCATTGCCCTATGTTTTTATGCATTTATTTTTCTGTGCATAATCTGCACAGCATACACCTCGTTTGTTTTCAAGTGCAGGAAGGAGAGAGAAATGGCTGTTCCATATAATTTATTCATTTTTCTTTCTTTCTTTATCTGTTTGGAGTCTGAGAAACAGGTGGGGAATGACTTAGTGATGTTTTTGGAAGATGGAGTTACATTGTGGAAGGTTGGGGAAGTAGTAAAACTTATCTTCAGAGGCACATAATGGGGACCTAATGGAGATTCCTTCCTTATGTGATCACAAGAGGTCCATTTAAAAAAAAAGTAATCTGCTGCAAAATATGCAAAGAGAAGCATCTTTTGTTTGAATTCTAAAGTGTCACCCACAGGCTGATTTTAGAGTCCTGTAACATATGGTAATTTGTCATTTCATGTGTGTAAAAATAGGGCCAAGACCTCAATGCCTCCAAGGGCCTGGTGGGTAGCAAATGAATAGAGGGGGCCAGGTAAGGGCTTTGGCAATGGGGGACCCCACAGCCTGCCTGAAGGAGACAGGTGGTTATCGACTCCAGCCAATTGTTTCCATGTAGGAATGTTGGCTCTAGGTTGCCACATTTTGTCGTATTAAAAAAAAAAAAAAAAAGGCCAGTTGTCTAAATCTGTATGTAAAAATCTCAATTTTTAAATGTGGGCCAACATAAGCTAACACTTAAAAACACACTATGCCCTAAAGCATATCTTCAAGCCCAATGGGCCTGTGGCCTGTCACTTTGTGACTTTTTGTGTAGAACAGACTCATTTGTTTCGGAGGAAAAGGTCTGTCTTGTGCCACTTGGAGTCCTGAGGTGTACTGCTAGGACTGTCATGGCCACGCCCCCTGGGAAGTTTAGGTTAATGTTTCCGTTTCTGCATGATCAGAATCAGCTCTTCAGAACAAGGCTAATGCTGACCTGGACAACAGAAAAGACAGCAGGACCGGTGCAGAAATTCTTCTTTCCAGAGGCCTGGGGTACACGGTAGAAGAATGTACCTGTGAAGACTGTGTCAAGAGCAAAGCGAAGGTCGATTCTGACCATTTCTTCCCACTGCCAGCGATGGAGGAAGGCGCAACCATCCTTGTCACCACAAAAACAAACGAGTACTGCAACTGCCTGCCTGCTGCTGGGAGCGTCACAAGGATGGAAAAATCCATTTCTACCAGATAATTAACCATTTCGACTGGTGTAGAGCTGCTTTGAAAATCTCTGGTCACAAGGAAAAGATGATATATCAGGTCTCTTTAGGATGCTTGCACTTATCAGTCACTGAAACAGCTTTTTGTCCTCTAATTCTGGAAAATCTTTATGTTAAGATGTATTTCTCTTAGTGTTGGGAGCTTAACTGTGGAAACTTTCTTGGTTTCATGATTAAATTCTTGACTCACTGAAAAAAAGGACTGCAGTGTGTCGATCCCATAGTCACACATTTCTATGGCTAGACCAGTTCCCTTCGGTACACGCACATATACACTTCAGGACACATTGAATTTCTCTGTTTATTGTGAAAGGAAAGCATGGTTATCTTATGTACTTCTGGAGAGAGAAGCCCAGAGTCAGCCTCACCCATTCTGTGTGCAATGGGTGATTCCTGACCTTGTCAGCTTTCAGCTTCATGTAGGCCTCAGGCATTAGGATAACAATATAAATATATGTAAAATTGCTAACTGTGATTAAAGTGTACTAGGTATCATTTTCAGACCCAAATGCACGTCAAAATAATGAAGGCTACACGTATATAGTCTTCCTCATATGCCAGGGATGGTTCTAAGTGCTTTACCTGTACTAACTCATTTAATGCATGTAACGAACTACAAGGTAGGTGGACCATTACTAACTCATTTAATGCATGTAACGAACTACAAGGTAGGTGGACCATTATCATCTCCACTTTACAGGTATGACAGAAACTAAGTCAGAGCAAGGTAACATAGCCAGTAAATAGCAGAGCCATGATGTAAACTCAGACATCTTGATCTATTTGTTTTCCTCTTCACATCAACTTAGTTCCATCTCTGAGTTCCCATCTCTTTAGGCTACATTCTTAGTCATCGTTGGGGGGAGGGTTCCCTTCCTTTGGTTGTGCAAAGGTCCTGGGGTTGTGTAAAGCTCATGGGAAGGCTATGCAACAGGTGATGCCCTCTGGTAATCTGTTGACTTTGATTATTGTTAAGATGCCTACTGGCACCACAGCATAGAGCCTCAAGATCTTGGGGCTTTCTCCGTGGCTTGTTTCAGGTTTGGGATATGGGGAATCTTGGTGGGACTTTACCCATTTGGGGCCCATCATGGCTCCATTTCAGGCCTGTGAGGGCCACATGAGACAGTACAGTATAGCAATTAAGGGAATGGCTCTTGGAGCTACATTTCCAGGGTTTGAATCCTGTCTCTGTTACTAGGAAGTTATAAACCTTGGGTGATTATGAGAAAGTTAACCACTCTACGCGTGTCACACACACACACACACACACACACTTTTCCCATAAAAGTATCTGGTTCATAGCAAGTACTTTGTGTTAGTGCCATTGCTATAATGATTTTTATGAGCCCCTTTGAGGTCCAGTCTCTGAGGGCAGGCACACACACACTCCTTTCTTGTTGTACGGCCTGGGAATATTGCTCCTAGCTTCTCACAGGCCTTCTTCCTTCTGCTCTCATCCCCTAGTAAAATCTCCTCTAAATTTCAGAGTTTCGATTTTTCCACAGCCCATAAGAGCTATTGGCATTAGGCTTTTGATTCTTGCTCCTCTAGGAGCAGGCTAAAAATCTCAGAAGGAAGGAATGCCAGTACTTAAAGAGAATGGTCGGTGGTAGAAAACATAAAGCACAAACTATACTTTCAATAACGTATCCTGCGTCAAGTGCCATGAAGAAAAGCCACGGGGTCCTATGAGACAGTGTAATGCATCATACACATGACAGCTCCACGAGGCAGGTATGTGATGCTTTACCAAAGGTTACAGAGGCAGGCAGACCTCAACTAGACTTTCTGGGGGGATTCAGACACACCGACTCTTTAACTAGAATAACAAATTAACAACCGTATAATTTTGAAAATGGGTAAAATGACCCCACCAAACAAACACACAAGTATTTTCATTTTTAAAAAATTAGAAATATATTTTTTTCAATTACAGTTGACATGTACCGTATTAGTTTCAGGTGTACAGCATAGTGATTGGACATTTAGCTAATGTGATCACCTAAGTGATCACCCCATAAGTCTAGTACCCATCTGACAAGTATTTTCATTTTTACATTCTCCCTACACATGGCCATATTTTGACACAACGGTAATCACGGTGTACAGACCATTTTGCACAGGGCTTTTAAAATTTAATGTATCATCAGTGGCCTCTCCTGCTTTTCCATAATCTTTATAATTAGCATTTTCAACTACTGCAGAGATTCCATGTGAGGTAGGCCACGATTTGCTTAGCTATCCTACTGTAGCTGGGTTTCGATGCGTTTCACATTTTCACTATTGTAAATAATGCTGAAGCGCATCATTCTCCAAAGAGCTCTTAATCTCTGTTGAGTCCAAAAGATAAATTCCCAGGGGCCAGAGGTTACGTGTTGAGAGGCAATGTAGAAGGATGGACGTGGGGCCGTGGGTCACACAGAGCCGGGCTGGAATTCTGGCTCCTTTTCCCAGTGGGGCTTAGTCCTCAATTCAGTGTTTTCAACAGTGGATCAAGACTCAGTTGTGGATCAATCGTCTCAGTCAGCATTAAAAAAAACCACCCAGAAATAAAAATAGAAGAGAATATATTACCCACAGAATTGTTCTGTTAAACTACTTAAATGTATGCATGTATATACTGGGTTGCAATGTAAAATGTATTTTTTTTACTCTGGGTTATGGGCCAACAAATTGGGAAAATGCTCCTTTAATTTTTCTGGGTCCCCTGACTCCCATCTGTAAATAGGGGCAGTAAACTGGATTTATCAAATTGTTGTGAACAAGTGTTTGCACACAACCCATCCACCTTCATCTCCTGTGACACGGCCCTTGCCCCAGGCACTATTAGCTCTTGCCGGACAATTGCAATGGCCCCCTAACCAGCTGCCCCTTCTCCACCCTGCCTCACAATTCATTCTCAACACTGGAAGGGTAATCATCTTAAAACCTAATTCAGACCGTCTCACTGAACTGCTTAAATTCTTTTTCTTTTAAAGATTTTTTTTTTATTGGGTAATTGGGGGAGGAGAACAGCTTTGGGGAATCAGGGAAGGGTAACAGACAAGTTGTTGTCCTTTTTGTTCTTCAGTCTAGTTGTGGAGGACGTTGCTTCACTGGCCCATGTTGGCACCATCATTGCGCTGTTCCTGGCTGAGGCAGATCGGTCGCCTGCCTCTGAACGGCTGCTCACGGTGGCTCCTGGCTACACATGGTAGCTCACGGCAACCCACTGCAGCAGGGGCTGCAGCCTACACCGTCGCCCGCCACTCACGGCAGCCCAGCTCCAGGTCGAGCTGGTGTTCAGCATCTTAGCTGTGGAGGGCAGTGTCACTGGCCCTCAATGTGGGACCCAATCCGGCATCCCTGCTGCTCAGAGCTCGCGCTCCCAAGACAACTCTTAACCAATGCGCCGCTTGGCTGGCCCTTCAACTACTTAAATTCTTGCAATGACTTCTCCTTCCCTTACCTACTTAAGAGTTAGGTAGTATCAACAAAAAACATACAGCCTAAGAGAAAGCTTATAAGAGTTTATTTGAGCCAAACTGACAATTGCCGGGAAGCCAAGTCTCAATGGAATGAGAAAATGTTCCGGAAAATGGCCGTTTTGCAACTTACTTTATACACTAGAATCAAAGGAGGAGGGTTACATGAAATCCATTGGTTGTATTGGGTTATCGAAAAAGTCATGACGTATTTTTTCTCTGTTTTTCGTTGCAAAAATGCATCATGACTTTTCTGACAACCCAACAGATTAAAGGGGTGGGAGAAAGCAAAGCGGGGAAATCTCTGGGATTGGATAAAAAGTAAAATGGAGACACACATACTTCTTTCACATAGGTGGGTACAGGATAGTTAACAGCATTTTACAGCACATAGAGATAGTACTTGGGGAGCAAGATAACAATGGGGGATTTTGTAGATTCCTGCTCTGGTGTGGTGGGTTGTGCCCCCTGGGGAGTCTGGAAAAAGATGACTCTGACATTCCAAGGGTATGTTACCTTAGATGCAAAAAGACGACAGACAAGCTCACTTAAGGTAAAGGCTGACCTTTGTCAAGGAAGCTACAGGCCAAGGATGTGACTTCCCGCCATGACCCACCTTAGGTAGGAATTTTCGTGTTCACGCCATCCTCTGTGGTTATTTTGTCTCCTGAGCTTGTCAGGTTTAACATGTGGCCGCTTTCCCGTCCACAGCGGAGAAGTCCAAACCCCTTGTGATGGACGGCCTGCAGGGCCCTCCATCCACCGCTTCAGTCTTCTCTCACTCCCCTTTTCCTACTCACCCGCTCGCTGGCCAACCACGGGAGGCAGGGCCTTTGCACTTGTTGCTTTGGGAACACCTTTGCTGCAGATCTTCCCAGGCCTTCTCCTTCTCATTGAACCCTCAGCTCTAAAGGCGTCGCCTTAGCGAGCCCCTCCCCGGGATTGCCCATCTCCCTTGTCCCCGCGCTTTGGCCCATTACTCCTTTTTTATTTTCCTTCTCAGCTCCTAGCGCTGTCTGGACCGATGTCTCATTTCTCGGGGCCTTGCTCACGGTCCGGCTCCCTGGCAGGCGTGTGAGCCCCGGAGGGCGGGGAGGCGCCCTGTTGGGTCCCCACAGCACGCGGGGACTCGCGGACCACAGGGCGTCCCGCGGGTGGTTCCCCTTGGCCTGGGTCCCCCGCCGCCTGCGCGCCGCGTGGCGTGGCCCCAGCCTCTGCGCCCCGGGTCCCGCGCGCCGCGCACGCATCGGTATTTACGTTCCGGGTCGGGGGGCGGGGCCGCGGCGGCGGGCGCTCCACTTCCGGGGCGGGGCGGATGGACGGGCGGGGCGGGGCGCGCTGTCGCCCGGCCTGTCTGGAGCTCAGCGGCGGCTGTGGAGGCGGCAGGGCGCAGGCACCGGACCGGGGAGCGGCACCATGAGCGGTGAGTGGCGGCCTCGCCGCTGTCACCCACCCCTGCCGCCCGGGCTCCCGCCGCTCCAGCTGCGCGCTCCGGCCCCGGAGCCCCGCGACCCTCCCGCTCGCTTGCAACCCTCGTCCCATTGCTCCCAGGGTCCTGACCTCGTGTACCCCAGTTCCTGGCCCCTGCTCACCTGCAGTTCTCTGGCGTCCCGCGTCCCGGCACGCCTAGCCCCTTGACTCCTGTCAGTTACTTAGAACCGGTTCCTCGACACCTGTCCCCTAGTCCCTCCCAGTCCTCCGACCCCCTTGCCCAGTTACCAGACCCCCCCGGTTCTGAAGTCTCCCGCGTCCCAGGGCCAACTAACTCCTGCACCCCCTGAGTCCCAGTTCCAGTTCCGGGAACCCTGCTCCCCAGCCGTTCCTGCCACCCAGACCCTTTGTCTCCAGTGACTCCAGCCTCCACACACACGCAGTGTCCTCTCTGGACACTCAGTTTGCTGACCCCTGAATCCCGTGTCCTCGTAGCCCCCGGTCCCAGAGGACTCTGAGCTGTCCTGCCTCTTTGTTTTCCTCGCCCCTGTTCTCTGTCCGTCCCCCGACGCTTTGCTGTCGCACCAGTTGTTCCCAGTGACTTTGTTTTCCGCTCTGGTCCCCGGTTCTTGCGTTTTGGTTATTTTTTCCCTCATACTCCCGCCCCTTCCTTGCCTTTGCTTAGATCATTTGAGGCGTCCCTTGTCCTGCCTTGCAAGCCTTCCCTTAGCCGATGTTGAGCCCATCTGGGGACCATCGCGTGCCTTGCCTGGTCCGCCCCTCTGCCTCCCACTAGGGAGCGGCCGGCTTTGGTGGGGAGGGTGGGAGGGGAGGGGAGGTGTGTGTGGGCAGCTTGTCCCCCGTGTTTCTGAAGTTTAGTCCCCAGACTGGATTCGGGCTCTCAGCCCTTTTCCTCTGAAGAGATCTGTTGGTGTTTTGGTGCTAAGTCATTCCTGGGTGTTGCATGTGGAGATGGGGAATGACTCAGACAAGCCTCTCAGCTCCCCCTGGCTGGGATCTGGATTCACTTAGGAGGACCCGTCTCCCCTCACGCTGCCTGTTTTCCTCTCGCTGTGTTATCGCCCGTGGAGAGTCCCTGCATCCAGTCCCCTTGGCCCGAGTCTTGTGCCCAGGCTTTTCTAGAGGTGGCGGGTGGGCAAGGCACAGGCAGTCCGTCTCTCTTTATTTTTAAGTTTTAAATGATCGGTGTTGATCATTTTATTCCCCCCTCTCCCCCCCTCTAAGTTATGTGCCTTTTGCTTTTGCTATTCAAGAGCAAGGTTTGCGAAATTGATGGTCCTAAGGAGGGACCTGGGTGGTTTCCTGGGAGATAGTCCCTTCGTCTGTGTCCAGAGCGAATGATTTTTGGCTTCAAGTTCCTGGTCCTTGAACATTAGTGATACCACAACAGAGATGTGATGAGCTGGCTTCCGCCCAGGAAGGACGTGCAGGCCCTGGAGCCGGACAGCCTGGGTTCAAATCCTGGCTCTGCCACATAAGGCTGTGTGACTTAGAGCGAGTTACCTGACTGTTCTGGGAGTCCCAGCAAAACGGGGACAGATAGTAGTACCTGTCTCCCAGTTTTGTTGCAATGACCAAGTAACGTTACTAAACTAAAGTAATATGCCTCTCGCTTGGTGTGTAGCTAGGAACTTAGAGCTCTTGTTTTCATAAGGACCCACGTGGGGTTCAGGTGGGGTTGTTTTGCGGCCCAGCTCTGGGACAAGGGCTGGGGCTAAGTACTCCCTGAAAATCTCTTCCTTTTAAGCCAAGGAGGGTCTGCCTCAAGCTCACAGTTCTGGACCATTTTCTCGTGTGCTTTCATCACGGGAATAGGTAAAATCGACAAGCCAAGGAAAATTGATCATTGAGCAACTTAATATCAAAGATAAGTTTTAAAATTTAAAAAATCATTAGGTCTAAGTCCAAAAAAATTACAAAAGGAAACCAACAAATGGCTTAAAAAGAAAAGGAAAAAGCATTAAGAATGAAAGCCTTCTTTTGGAAAGATTGTAAGTGACTCAGAAAAAGTGGTTGCTGAGGATGGAGGGGGAAGTCCAAGGTGTTTTCAATTCTTTCTTGAGAACACAGTTGAAATGGGTTTTTCCCACCTGTGGGATTGATAAGTGGCCCACAATGAAATAATGTGGCATGAAAATGTTTTCTGTCTTTCTTGTCCTTTTTGTTAATAGAAAAATTTCAAACATCACAAGTGGCGAGAATAGTCTAATGAACAAGTACCAACTCATGACCACTTCACCTATATACCTATTTACTTCCTGCCTCTCTCCCCAGTTTATTTTAAAGCAATTCCCAGACACTATATCATTTCATCAGTAAATATTTTAATATGTATCTCTAAGATACAGGGACTCCTTTTTAAAAACATAATTCCGTTTTCATACCTATAAGAACTTAGCAGTAATTCATTAATATCGTCAGATAGTCAATGTTCACATTTCCATGATTGCATTATAATTTTATTTTATAGTGTATTTTTTAAACTCAGGCTCTAAATAAGGTTTAAACAGTACAAATTGGTTTGTCCTTTAAGTTTCTCTTAGTGAAAAAGAAATTTTTTTTTCAGTTTAGTATATTCACAGAATTGTGCAAACATCGTCAGAATCAATTTTAGAACATTTTCATTACTCCAAAAGAAACCCTCTATTCATTAGCAGCCATTCCTCATTCTCCCTCGCTCAGCCTCAGGCAACCACTAATCTACTTTCTCTCTCTATGGATTTGCCTGTTCTGGACATTTCATAGAAATTAATCCTACATCATGTGGCCTTTTGTGTCTGGCTCTTTTCATTAGGCATAACGTTTGCATGGTTTGCGTTGTACCATGTATTTCATGTTCGTGTCGTGTCTGCACTTCCGTTCCATTTTATGGCTGAATAACATTGTATGGACGCTCCACATTTTGTTCACCCATGCATCAGTCGATGGACTTTTGACTTGTTTCTACTTTTTGGCTGTTATGAATCATGCTACGGTGAACAATCACATACAAGTTTTTATGGGATATATGTTTTCATTTCTCTTGGGTGTATATCTAAGAGTAGACTTGCCGGGTTGTATGGTAACTCTAAGGGGAAAATTGCTCGATCCATTTGAGTCAAGACTGTTTTCCAGTGAGGTGTCACCATGTTTATTTCCTACCAGCAGTGTAGGAAGTTCCTGGTTTCTCCACTTCCTTCGCCAACAGTCCTTTTTGATAATAGCCATTCTAGTCACTGTGAAGTGGTGTCACTGTGGTTTTGATTTGCATTTCCCTAATGACTAATCATGAGCATCTTTTTCATGGGCTTATTGGCCATTTGTATATCTCCTTTGGAGAAACGTCTGTTCATATTCTTTGTCCATTTTTTTTAATAGGTTGTTTTTCTCTTTAGTGTTGAGTTGTAAGAATTCTAGATACAAGTCCCTTATCAGATATGTTATTTATAAACGTTTTCTACCATTCCGTCGGTTCGTTTTTTCCCTTTCTTAGTGGTATCCTTTGAAGCACGAAGTCTTTTTTTTTTTTTTTTTTTTTAAACCATAGGTTCCCCTCTCATCTCTCTCTTTTTCCTCCCTTGCAATTTTTGCTGAAAGAAACAGTTTACCCTGGAAGGTTTCTTTGCAGGATTTTGCTGATGTATCCTTTTGGTGTGGTTTGATATGTTTCTCAGTCTCTTTTATATCCTATACATTAGCAATTAGAATTCGCTGTATTTTTGAGTTGAAATTGTTTGAGTGGAGTCAGGGGTCAGATGGGTTGAAGGCCAAACACATTAAGTGCAAAGAACCAGGAAATGGAATGGCTCTAGGTAATGCATACACAAGATAAATGGGTATCATGAGGCCAGAAACAAATAAGATGACCATTAATAGGGAAGTGGATAAATATATGTGGGAGGGTCACATGATGGCAAACCTCAAAGACATTAAAAGGAATAAAATGGATTTATATACATCACCGTGGCTGTATCTTAACATTAACGTTCTTTAAAAAAAAAGCAGAGTTCAGAATTATACCTAAAATATAAGTGATACACATTAAAACATGCACACAAAACAGTGGTTTTGGATTCAAATATGTATGTAGGAGTAAGCAAATTGTCAGGAGGCAGGAGGTATCTACGTACCATATGTGCGTGGTTGTCTTAGGGTGAGAGGGGTCATGATTTATTTGTTTTTCTGTTAAGAATCCAGTAGGTGGGAATCTTGATTACCAGCCTCTACTAGCTAAGAAATTCTGATTTTCAGATAATGCTTTTGCTGTTACGGCGAAAGTAAACTTGTAGGGCCAGAAAGTCATTATGATTCTCAAACATTGCCTTTGATAAGACTTTACCTCGGAAGCCCTTGATGCTCCGTCAGTTACCCTGTAAAGAATTCTTAAGTTAGAACGACACTGAAACCCCCATTCCAAGGGTGGGGAAAGCCAGGCCCAGAGAAGTCAAGCAGTTTGTGGAATAGAAAAGCTGTAAGGCCCGATACACCAGGGTTTGGGGCTGAATGCGTTATTTGCTGGCGTTCTTGCTTGATGTTTATGTACATTTTGGCAGGTTTTTCTTTCCTGTTTTTTTTCTTGGCAGCTTTTTTCTTCGTTTTCTGGAATGTTGAAGGTCATGGTTTTTCTCTTTGGCGTTGACTATGTCATCTCCAGCAGTGGCTTGTGTTTGGAATAAAGAATCAGCTGAAACGAGTGAATGGAAAAAGGAATATTTGTGGTTTTCATTCAAAGCAGAAAAAGAAAAAGGGATGATATCAACCCCCGCCCAATGAAGGCCCTGGGTTGATCTATTGTGGCAGATTGTAAGAAGTAAGCGTTCCACCGTCAGCAAATATTTGGCCATCTCCTATGTGAGCAAGTGGCAATGGACTAAATGCAGTTGACACACTCCCCTGCTCCCTGTGGCATGGCTCTGCCTGGGTAACCGATAGGAAGTTAAGTTCTTAGTGCTCTTGACGTATGGAACTAAAATCTGAGGTTTTATGGGCTTT